CAGGAAAAGCCCCCCCACCCCGGTAGGGAGTGGTGCATTGTGGGTGTTTCAGTGAAAGTCACGCCGGCGGTGGGGCGATGCAGTGATGACGTGGAGTGAGTGTGTGTGGGCGTGAGGAGGGTTTGTGGTTCTTCATTGGATGTTGGATGTCGCGTGTGCACGGTCACGACTCTGGTGAGAAGGAGAAGTTGGACATCTGAGGACACACCTGAAGGACAGAGAGGCAGACTCAGCTGCTCTCCTCCTTCAGTTCTCTCCATCTGTCCTGATCTCCTTTCCTTTCTCTGTCTCCTCTTTTGCTCCCTTTGTCCTTTCCTTATCCTCTTTTTTCTTCTCGTCACAAACTTTTCCTCCTTTTTCTCTCCTCTCTTCTACTTCTTTTCCCTTTTCTTCTTCCTTATCATCCATCCTTTCCCTCCTCTGTTATTCTTTATTCTTTCTTAATCCTTTAATTCTTCCTATCATATTTCCTTTACTTGTCCATCTTTCCTTTTGTCGTTTTCTTCCTATTTTTCCCCTCTCTCATCCCCACCTTTCCTTCTCTCTTGTCTTTTTCTTCCTTTCTTCCCCTCAACTATTTCTCCTGACATTTCTCTTTCCTTAATTTTCCTCTTTCTTTGCACCATTCTGCCTTTCTTTCCCTTCTTTCCTTTCCTCTTTATCTTCCTTTTCTTTCTCTCCTTTCCTCCTCACATTGTTTTCAATTGTGTCGTTTCCTTCGCTCCCTCAACTTTCTAACCTTCCACTTCTTTCTTTTCCTGCTTTTGTCCTTTCCCTTTTTTTCTTCCTTTCCCAGTGTTTCCTTCCCTTCTTTCTCAATCTTATTTCCTCTTTCTTTCTTTACTTTTGTCCTTTATTCCTCCTTATCCTTCTCTACTAAGTCGCGACCTTTGTGGTTTCCTCTTTCTTTCCTGTCATCTCATCCTTGCCTTTTCTTTTCTTTTCCTTTCTGCTACTTCTTCTTTCCTCTTTTCATTTCCTTCATGATTTTTTTCTCTTGTCCATTTTTCTCTCCACTCCAATTTCTTCTTTTCTTCTTCCTCCCTTTCTTCTTCATCCCTCTACTACTATCACCTTTTTACCTTCCTCTCCTCTCTTTTCATAGAGGTGAAGTTTGTGGAAAGAGATGAATCCACCGCTGAGACAAACGTGATTTTTATATAATGATGTACATACGTACGTTTGTTGTGTGTTTGATGGTGTGTAATCGTGTTTTAGGGTTAGTGGGAGTCTTGATGATAGTGACACATGGGGGGGTGACTCATGTCGACAGAGAACAGCCCTCTTCCTCCTCCTCCTCCTCCTCCTCTCTCCCTCTCTGGGAGTTTTTTTTTAGGCTTCAGGCAAAGAATCTCTCTGTCACTGTGTCGTAGTGATAAGGTTTGTGTGTCGCTCACACACACACAACCCCCTTTCTTCTCAGAGCATCCGTCCGTGAATACATACAGTCACATTTGTTCAGTGTGAGACGTGCTGTCAGTCTTCGGTGTCACCGTTTGTGTACGTTTGTGTCACAATCATCAGCTGCCATGAACACAAAAGCTGCGGCAACCACGAACACACCAGCAGGATTTTTTCTGCCAGAACCACAAAACTGACAAAAGACGGAGTACGCTGTAAAAGAAAGGTCAAAAACAATAAACTGATTACATTAATGAATGTATAGTTTGTTTACAGGATGATACACCAGTAAAAGAAGTGTGTAATGTTGGCGGTTAAAGCTCCTGTGAGTAATTTTCAGTCTGAGTCAGATTTGGCGCCCTCTGTTGACAAAGGAGAACCCCTTATTTCTTTGTAGGTTTTGTCCTGCACTTCACTTATTTATTATCAAACTTCTCTCTTTTTAATACGCTCCGTATTTCAATCAATCAATCAATCAATCAATCAATCAATCAATCAAAGTTTATTTATATAACTATAACTGCTTATACAAATGAAATTGCAGCTTAAAAGTTATTAAAATAGACTTAAACGGACAATAAAATATAAACTTGAATTTAGTAATAAAATAAGGTAAAAAGTGATACTAAAAAAATCAAGAAGTATTTAAAATAATGAAGCTTTACAATGAAGCCAGGCTAAAAAGATGAGTTTCTGGGTTACGTTTAAAGATGTCTATATTTGCAGCTTGTCTCAGACCCTCTGGAAGTTTGTTCCACAGTTTTGGAGCGTAGCAACTAAAAGACACATCACCAAATCTTTTTGTTCTGCTCTTTGGAACAACTAAAGGTCCTTTCACAGCAGGAGCGTTTTTATCGTGTGATTATTTCAGACGTCAACATTTTTTTTCGAACCAGTGTCGTGTCAATACAAGCGTTCACATCAGCTACGTTTTTCCGTCCCGCGATATTGCAGCATTAATTTTTTTGTATCACGGTCAATTTTTCTAAAGTTTCTCTAAAGACTCAGTACATGCTATCATGACAGACAGACATCTCAACACTAGTGACTAATCAGAACTGAAAAACACTCAGTCTGCTGTCGTGTCAGTCTTCTCGCTTCCACCCAGGACGTGTCATCTTTGTAAGGTATTCTAGTGCCAGGCCATGTAGAGCTTTAAAAACTAGTAAAAGAATTTTAAAACCAATGTGAAAACTAACAGGCAGCCAGTGCAAAGACTTTAAAATGGATGTAATATGAACTCTTCCCCTGGTTCCATAGTCAAACCTCTAGCAGCAGAGTTTGGGATCAGCTGTAGCTGGTTTATTGTGCTTTTGAGTAGACCAGAGAGGAGAGCGTTACAGTAGTCAAGCCTGCTGGTTATAAAATCGTGCATTAGTCTCTCTGTCTGGCTCAGAGAGAGAAACGGCCGTACTTTTGCGATGTTTTTAAGATGTTAAAAGGTTATTTTAGTGACCACCTTTAGCACGAGTTTTAAAGTTAAAATCAGCCTCAAACACCACCCTGAGATTTCGTGCTTCTTGGCTGAGGTTCAGTCCTGTTTTGTGGAGTTTGGGGGTCAGTTTCTCTCTCTGAGCCTTTGAACCAATTATTAATAGTATTAGTATTTCTCCTTTTAATTAACTGAATGTGTCGTGACTGTTTCTTTTTCATCAATCTACTCTTCCTCATAATAACAAAAGTAATTTCACAGTGTAAGATATTTGAACAAGCTCGATATGCTGCTTCTAAATGAAGAAGTGGTTAAAATGATGTACATTTCCCATCCTCTTGAATGCATCGTTCATTCATTCGGGGTTATCTGCTCCGGAAACAGCCTCCTTTAAGCATATTTGCACTGATGAATATTGAAAGATAAAGAAGGCCTTCCCTATGCAATCATTTTATCTTTAATTACGTGCTTTATTAATGGCACTTTTTATATGGAAATGTGATTATATTAACTCCACGTACATATTGTGGGTTTATTTAAAGCAGCTCTGGCACTTTTCCTTTAATAAAACACATTTAAAAAGGGACAAAGTGTCTATTAGAATATCTTTGATGTTGCTTCCAGGGTGTCTTCCTGATGCAGATTCACAATCGGTCCTCCGCCTGTCTGTCGGCTTTCTGCAGGAGAGATAGCGCTCTCTTCATTACGCGCTTCATTAATTTAAATGCTAATTGATTCTGTGAGGGCCTTTCAGACAGAGAGCTAAGTCCTGTGTCTCCCCATTGATTGTGTGTGTGTGTGTGTACGCCTTGTGCACCTGCTGGATCCTGGAGTGACACGTCCTGACAGAACAACCTCTCCTGCCTGTCTGTCTGCCTCGAGTGTGGCACTGATAGGGTTTGAGTGCTGCAAGCCAGACAAGTACAGCGCTAAAAAAAGAAAAATCACCAACACCCAGACTCAGAGTTCAGTTTCAGGGCCTGAGAGGCGACAATAAAAGCGAGGAAAACGTGAATAAGCAGCAGTTGGTGTGCTGTAGCTGTGCGGCTAAAACAGAGGATGCTGGGGCAGTTAAACGATCCATGTATGGTTGCTAAGAGACAGCGAGGCTGGATGGGGGAGATAAACGCTGGGATCCACCCCTGGCGGTGAGCAGTGGGTGGGAAAGAGTAAGGGGAGAGGGGGGCAGGGGGTAAGAAAGGGGGAGTTTAGATAAGAGGGGAGGGAGGGGAGTCATGTGACAAAGACAGTTGCGCCCTAGTCTTGGAAGATAAGGCTTCATTTTGTCCCTCAAGCTCCTTTTTTCTTTCATGTCATCCTGCTCTTCATCTTTTACTATCAAAAGTTAACAGAGTTTTTTTTTTCAGGGACCAAAATCAGTCACATGGTCCAATCCAGGGGTCTGGGCTTAACATCAATTTAAAGTCTTATTAAAGTTTATGTGTAATAAAGGTAATATTTGAGTATATGACCATTAGAGGCTCAATATCAAACTTTTGTGTTAAACAATTGATTTCATTCAAGCAATCTGATTGGATAAGAGACAAACCAATACAGCAAACTATTGACTTTATGGACAGTGCTCCTCCCATGGTGAGACGTGAAGCCAAAATACTGCCTCAGTATGTGCTGACGTAGTGGAGCCAAAGGCATCTGAACTATTTAAGTGATAAAAATGTGGGAGTGATGTTGTAACTAAAACACATATTTAAGTCACTTATGAAACAGTAAACATCCCTCAGACCGATACCATCCACAGACAGCAGAGCAGATTCTGACGTTGATATGAAGCAGGCCAAAATCAGTCACATGGTCCAATCCAGGGGTCTGGGCTTAACATCAATTTAAAGTCTTATTAAAGTTTATGTGTAATAAAGGTAATATTTGAGTATATGACCATTAGAGGCTCAATATCAAACTTTTGTGTTAAACAATTGATTCCATTCAAGCAATCTGATTGGATGAGAGACAATCCTGAACTCAGCCACCAGAGAGAGCTCTAAAAGGTGTAGCTCAAAGTTTGTCCACCCATGGTGAGACGTGAAGCCAAAATACTGCCTCAGTATGTGCTGACGTAGTGGAGCCAAAGGCATCTGAGCAATTTAAGTGATAAAAATGTGGGAGTGATGTTGTAACTAAAACACATATTTCACTCACTCATGAAACAGTGTTTAAAAATGCAGTTCCTCAAGTGTCCACTAGAGGCTGGTTCCAACAGCAATAGAAACCACATACACACCCATTCTAAAAAGCCCATTTTTATATGGTTAGCATTTGTGGCTAGAGACAACTTGTTATCGCACGATTGCACGTGAATTTCGCTGGTTCGAGTTTGTTACGCTTCCTCTTAAACTGGAGTAACTCGATAAGCGTAAGACTCATGCAAGGTCAAGAAGTAGAGAATACATGCATGATTCAGTAAATACTCTAAAACTGAACAAGCTTGCCCAAAACCTGGAGAGCATGTGCCTACAAATGGTCTTCAAACATGTGACGCCCCTACTTTTAATAAACAGAGATCTGAGTAAATTTGCACACGCCAATCCAGCCTGTAACTTTTATCGGTGGTTACCTCATCCCAGAGCAGAAAATCAATTCAGCAGCATCTGTTTTGTTCTCCATCCGTTTCCTGCCTCACTGCACTCATCATTAGAGTCTTCATCTGAAACTTTACTTTGTGTTCAAACTGTCTCATCAGTGGTCGAGCCTCTGCAGCTGCTGCCAGGAGGAAAGCCATGATGGCTGCCACCGCGCGAGCACAGGAAAAACGGGCTTCAGCTCGCACCGTCATCCCTCATCAACCCGGTCGACTCCGGTCAGCGTGGCACAGAAAGACAAAAGGAAAAGAGGAGTGCTTCCTCCTCCATCAAATGTGAGGGAAGCTCTGAGTGCGGGTCGTGATTAGTTGTGAATGAAACGCAGCCGTCTGATTGGTGGAGAGAGCCGGAGGTCAGGCGTTCTGCCAGTGGCTCATACAAGGCTGCTGATTGCTTTTCATCCACTGATTACAGTAATTTAGATCTGCAGAGGGCCAAAGGGGCCTGCGTCTGCCAGCCTGACTGCTGCTGCTGCTGCTGCTCGGTCTGAGGGGAGGGGGCTGCAGTTTGGGTGTGTAGATGTTTTTTTTAGACTCAGAAATGAGTAAATGAGGCTGAAACTGCAGAACATGGAAAAAAACTGTACTTTAGATACTCGTCTAAAGATACTTACACCTGCTCTCTCTAGAACACATGCACCGTCCCTGTATGTAGAAATAAAACAGCGAAGGTGACAAAAACATGAAAATTCATGCTTTCATTTGAGGAGTTTAGATGGTTTTCTTCTACAAATCCAACCTAATTATTTCTGGAAAACTAACCCCCTAATAGGATGATGATTACATCCTCAAACGCTCATTTTTAACTCAACTGAACTTTATTTATAGAGCACTTTAAATACAACCAAAGCTGACACAAAGTGATGTACATAATAACATAAAAACATAAAACAACAATAAATAGTTGTTTTAAAATGCCGTCTCATACTTGGTCAAAAGCCAAGATTTAAAAGTGGGTTTTTAAAATAATTTAAGCCAATAATCACCTTCTTTTCGATGATGAATAATTAAACTTCATCGTCTCTCACAAGATCATCATTACTTCTCTGTTAAAATACAAACTGCTCGGCTCCAACTCTTTTTTCATGAAAGTGAAAACAATGACTCCAGTTTTCTCTCCTTTTGTCTCCCCAGCGGCCCTTTGGACATGCCGAGACCTTGAATAATCAAAGTTGATGAGGCAGTTAGTTGGGAATGGTTTTTCCAGGAGCGGTGGTGATGATTAATCAAGGAGCCGAGCAGCGGCGGCCTCTTCACCCGCACACATTACAAGGTTAGTCTCTCTATTGATCACAGCTGCGGAATCAAACCCGTACACATTCGCTCTGCTTTCACACGTGTGTTTTGCTTCTGCGTCTGACGAATGATGCTTTTCTTGATACCATCTTTCCACCACACCCACAATCCCATATTGAAGAAATAAATCATGTTGAGGACAATGTAAGATTCACATTTATTGACAAAAAAAACAAGCGTGTTTTTTCAAAAGTTTATCTTTCTACAGCAGAGACTGGAGTGTTTTCACAGAATATTAAAAACAACTTGTGTAAAGAGCATAAATATACATTCTGACGTCTGCTTACTGGCGTCTACGTTCTTCACAAAAACAGTGAGACATGTATGAAGACAAGAAGAGATCCATAACCACACTTAGCTCACGACAGGGATCAGACTCTCCTGTAAAAATGTCCAATAATGAGTCTTCTTTAGGAAGTCCCCTTGGGTAGTTTCATAGATAACACTGTTTCAGAGATATCTACCCCTCAGGAAGCCTCCTCTGTTTCTCACACATACAAACACATTCACATATGTACAAACACAAATACAGTCAATAAAAAAAGTCATGTATGAGTGTGTGTGTGTGAACCCGTGCCCCTTGTTGTCCGTGTGTGTGTGTTTAGACAACAACACGTCCATGTGCTCCACTCCTCGGGGTGTTTGGCCTCGCCCTCTGGGGGTCCTGCTTCAGAGGTGACCTACTTCTCCTGATTGTCAGCAGAAGGGCGGTTTCATCAGCTCGCTTTGTGCCGAGGCACTGAACTGTGATCGGGACCCTGGGACAGGCCGATTGGACCTGGGTAATGAAGCTCGTCACACACATGCATGCACACAACACACCCACACACACACACACACACACTTCTGCTGCCATCAGGTCCGGAGCAGCAGAATTTATAACAGCCGTTTATTACCTCCTCCTTTATGAAGGAAATGTGATTCCTCTGCTGCGTGTTTCTGATGCACATTAGGCTCCATCATTGGAAAGGTGACAGAGATGGAGCGGAGGGTGTTGATGGATGCCGGCGCCTGGTCCGGCTGTCATTACTCCGTCTATTGAGCGGAGAGAGCGCGTGAGTTCTCTTCCCACAAAATGGCCGCGGAGCCCCAACATGGAGGAGTCGATGGTTCACAACTGATGATCGGCACGAGGTGTAGAAACACATTCATTTGCTGCTTGTGTGTGTTTGGAATACTCAGAGTAGCGACACAAAAACACAGTCTGTCCATCTGTTCGTCCGTCTGCTTCTTCACAGCAGAGAAGAGTAGAAACGAGAAATATTTACATCAAGATCCAGCAAAAAAACGACTTCAAACTATGTACAAGAACACTGCAAATTCCCACACTGAGTACGGGCAACTGAACACGACACACTAACACTAAATGCAGCATGTCTACTTTATCCTAATGTCTCTCTAGCCTTCACAACACTCGACAAATACAGAAGCAACAGCGGCGTTACATTCATATAAATAATGATAATCCCATAAACCCCCCGTAGAAGAGTCTCTTCAGCACTTTAGGCTCATCTGTGTGTTTTAAAAATGAGAACTGAAGACCAGCTTCACCGTGTGTCCTCAAAAACTCCCTTTAGAGGTGCAGTGAGTGTCCCCGAGGTGGTGACACCGGGTCCCTCGGTATCAGCGGAGGAAAAAAAGACTGGTTGAGCACCGTTGAGTTAAGGTCAGGGGGGTCCTTGGAAGTCCATGGATTTTTTATTCTTTTTTTTTTATAAGGCCCAGGAGAATTCGGGTTCACAGATAAGAGATCAGTTCATCATCCGGGTGTCGTTCCCTCTTCAAATGGCACAGAATCCTTTACTTCCTTCGTTTGTTTTTTAAGAGTGAGAGCAGCAGGGAGACAAACGAGCAGAGGATGAAGAGCAGTCAGCTGATCAGGGGGCTGGTGTCCTACTTCATTCACAGGTCGACTCTTACAAAAACAGGAACATGATACAGAGGTTTTCTGTCCATATCCTCAGCTACACTTAGATTTGTTTTAGTGGAAGAGAGACACCTGATTTTACCAGGTAGATTTCTTCTTTTACAGCCTAACAGGGGGGCTTTTGTCCTTTTTTTTAAGAATTGTGGACGAGGAAAGAGGAAGCGAAGCAGCTCGTTGGACGGATCTTTAAACAGATGGACGTATTACCGTAACATATTTGTTTCCTTTCAACAGCTTCAGCTCCAGTCTGCAGTTTCTGAGCTGATAACACCGGTGAAGGTCAATCCGAACAGATGAATTAGTCAAACGGAGTCTGAAGTCAGGAAATAACTCTAATAATGACTCTAGGCTCTAATTTTGCTGAGAATTTGGGCAGAAATCACCTGTTTCATCACCCAAGACTTAAGAATGAAGCTGAAACACATGATCTTGTTGGGGGTAGGACTCGGCTCTCTGTAGCCAGAGGTGCTCTGCATCCCCATCTGCTCATCACGGTCAGAAATGGGGGGCAAAAAAAGGCGAATCAAAGCGCCCAGCCGTTCACTCTGGCCTCCGTTTTCTGTGCAGCAGGTTCTCTGTCAGAACTAATGAGTCACGTAAGCAGCTTTTTTGCTCGCAGCCCTGCGCTACTGCAGGAGAGGAGTGATGGAGTGAAGAGCGGGAAAGAGGGGAGGAAGGAGAAGAGATGGAGTAAAAAAGGTGGAGGGCAGAGTGTGTTCATGTGACAGTTTTTCTGCTCCTGGCAGATTCTCCATCTATCCGTTTCTGCTTCCCTCCATCTGTCTCCTGCTCGCTTGTTGCTCCGAGGAGGAAAAGAACCGGAACAGCGGCCCGTGTGGACTCCATCTTTTTACATTTTTTTAAGGTCTTGCCTTCGTCCGTCTATCTGTCCATCTGTCCTTCACAGTCCTCTGCTGGCGTTCGGTTTCAGCTTGACGACCCATTCGCCTCCTTGGTTACTGTTGTACAAATCCAGGAGGTGTGTGTCGGGGTCCAGGCAGTGCTCACCTGCACAACACAAACAAAGTCGCTGTCAGCCCACATCCTTTTCACTCTTACACCATATCAAGATTGAATTCAATCAAAGCTGAAGAACTCACAATGACTTGACTCATCAAATACCTCGACTATTTTAATCCTGCTCTGGTTTCAACACAGAGCTCCAGTCTCTATCCACATAGCAATCATACATCAATACTCTTAGGTAAGACTGCAGACGATAAAGTTTCAGAGTCGAACTGACGGAACAAGTTTGTCCGATAAAGAGTTCAGTCTGTCGGTTCTCCTGTGAGAGCACAGACATGTATGAAATGAGCATTTGTCTGCTCTGATAACTGCAGATGCACCGCTCCCGTCTCTTTGGCGTTTGCACAGATCATTACATAAGACCATGTACCCTCATCAGCTCAATGAGCAGGAAGACATGCAAATGTCAGCACCCAGTAAAACGGAGCAGCCTCTGACACTTACCGATATTACCTCCGACTTCATATAGAGCGCAGTCTGGATACGCCACTGCGCCGTTCCTGTGGACAGACACGTATCATCAAACTGTTGTGAGTGTTGAAAGACAGAGTCAAAGCAGTCTAAGATTCAAGATAACTCTGATCTGAAGTCAAAGATCCATATGGAGTCGTACCTTCGTATTTTGCCCTTTCCGTTCTCGGGGCTGCGGAGGCACTGGCGGTGAAACTGGGCGAGCAGGTCTGAAGCTCGGGAGTTGATGTTGAGCTGGAACTCCATGGTGCCGCTCACCTGATCCCCAACCTGGATTTTAACTGTACGGCACAACTACAGGCAAAAAAAAGAGTAAAAGGAACATTAACCAAAGTGATCAGTGTCGTCTTTGTACAGCTTTTTAAATAAGAATAAGATCAGATTTTATTACGAATATTTGGTTCCAAATCTTAGAGATGTGAAATCTCACCTCTGAGGTATTCTTATCGGGTTTTTCACGGCTGTCCGTGTGGATCTTCCTCAGCAGGTTCTTGATGCGGCGATCGTAGAACTGGTAACGTCTGCTGCTGTTTTCATTCAGCTTACGCACCTGGTTCATGAGGAAATTCGGGATCTGGAGAGAAAAAAGAATATTAAACACGATGACTCTGATTTTATGATTATTTCATACAAAGTAATTTGTTATGATAAATGTCAGGACTTTGACTTGCTTGGTTTTTGTAAAGACGAAGAAGAAGAAGAAGAAGAAGAAGAAGAAGAAGAAGACTTTTATTGATCCCCAAAGGAAAATTAAATCAGTTCTTCTTCTTCTGAAGCCTTTAGCTAAAAAATCATAGGGAGGTTGTAACATTTACCCAAAACTGCGACTTTAAGAATAAATTTAAAGGATTGAATTTTATGATAGAAGTATAAAAGTGTAAAAAGGGAGTAGGATAAGGATGTATCATGCAGATTTTAAACAGCTTTTTTGAGGAAAAATAAATCTGCACAATTCTTGCTGATATTGATTTTCCCACTTCCAAGTTATTAACAGGATTATGATAAGCTGGGTAAGTGCTCATCAATTCCAGTAATATATCTCTGGTCCTCTTGCAGATGAATACGAGGGTGATCTTACCGTCCAGAGCAGGTCCTGGTAGCGGATGAGGAGCCTCATCACATCAGCCGCCTTCTCCGCATGTCCTTTCTCCGCCCCCTCCGTCAGCCTGCTGGGAACGGCCTTATGGAGGAAGAGGTTTGGAGCCATGATGGTCGCGACGGCCCAGAGATTCATCCTGTTCCTCTTCTCTCTGGAGACCACCTTACTGAGGAACTCCAGGAGAGCCTGGGAGGCACACAGATGGAGACGTGAAATCAAAGGTACTTTCATGGTTTTATGAACCTAATAATTCAAACTGGATGAAGCCTGTATGTTGAATATTTCGATTTTTATAGAGGTTGAAAGATTGAATAATGTGAAATGTAGAGAGGCCACTTCTACAGGTGCACAACAGGGAGTGAAGTGGATATCACAGTGACTGAATCATCTGTAACACCTCTGCTGAGAGAAGCGTTAATGCACAGTAAGTTTCAGCTGCCTCCACTGGAGTCAAAGTAATTAGTTCAGGTGGGTTTGATGCTCCTGGATGCTGTAAGCGGAGCTGACTGCACGATCGTGTCAGTGAAAGTGAGTCATTAGTTAATGCTAGCGGTTACGTAACCGTGTAGAGCGCTTAAAATGTGGATTAAAAGCGGAACAGTATAGCAGTACATTATGAAACGGCACTTTGAAATATGAGGCTCATATACAACATACAGATGTAAATTTGAAGACATGTCAAATTTATGTAAGAGGAGTCGTAAAATCCTTGCTCAACTTGTTCAACCTTTAAAGATGAAGTATGTATATTTTTATGATTTATGTTCCTGCGTGTCGGTGTGTACCTTCAGTGTGTTCCTGTTGGGTTCTGGCAGCAGCAGGATGAGGAGGTTCAACATGTGGAGCTTCTGCTTCAGGTCTGTGATGTCTAAAGGAGAAGAGAGAAGAGAGCAAAGATTTAGCAAACACACTCACACACAGACGCGCTCATACTCTTCATTTCCGCTGAGGCTGACCAAGAATAATGGGAAACCTAAAGATTAATGACGTTGTGACAGGTGGCCATTAGGTTTGTTAGCTTATGTCTCTGTGGTAAAACATCATTCATCACTTTGCGCTGATACTCCTCACACACTGAACGTCAGCGAGGCATCGATCTGAATACATTAATATCAACGCAGACTTTTATTTAGTGAAACTGAAGTGAATATTCTACTCTGCTTCATCACTGTGTATGTGTTCGAGGACGCCTCTTTAAAGGCCATCATCTTGTTCATCTTAAAGGGATATTCCGTCAAAGCAAAAATTTAGGGTCAAACACACTGTAACACCGAGTTAGACACCCCCTCGGGAGATGAATGTTGCCGACTGCTTGCTTCTCTAGTTATACCAACTTTAGTAACGACCGCACAATAGCAATTCACAGCGGTCTACGTCTCCACGCGCAAACCTCAACCAAAACGCCACTTCATAGCCACAAATAATGCTCAGAACAGCACCTAACTTCATCAACAGTACATATAGCATCCCAGCGATAGTAATAAGGTCAAACTTCTTTTTAACTTTGACTAATTTCTTTAGCAAAGAGACTGAACACAACTCACCCACTCTCCTCCAGCAGCCACTTGTTTGTAGCGAGACCTCAGGCCAGTCTATACAGACTACAGCGGTGTGACGCAGCTCAAGGAAGAACATTTATGATCATTTCTTCATGGAAATGCAATCAGACTGAGATGCTACCATCTGCAGTGCAAAATGATTAATATGGTGATTATTACTTAAAGGAAATGATAAAGTAATGATCATAAATGTTCTTCCTTGAGCTGCAGCACCCCACAGCAGTCCGTATTGCACTGGTCTGAGGTCTCGCTACAAACAAGTGGCTGCTGGAGGAGAGTGGGTGAGTTGTGTTTAGTCTCTTTGCTAAAGAAATCAGGCAAAGCTAAAAAGACGTTTGGTGGCTAGTACTATGGCTGTGACCCTATATGTACTGATGATTAAGTTAGGTGCTGTTCTGAGCATTATTTGTGGTTATTGAGTGGCGTTTTGGTTGAGGTTTGCGCGTGGAGGCATAGATTGCTGTGTATTGCTATCGTGCGGTCGTTACTAAAGTTGGTATAACTAGAGAAGCAAGCAGTCGGCAACATTCATCTCTTAAGGGGGTGTCTGACTCGGTGTTACAGTGTGTTTGACCCTAAATTAGATTTACGCCGAAATATCCCTTTAATATGGAAAAGATAATCATCATTTGGCGCTGTCGTCAGGGTAAAGAGTCTCCGTGTCGGACTGTCTGGAAAAGCAGGCAGCAGATTGTGACGCAATGGAGAAGAGCGGGAATTGTATCTGTGTGTGTGTCTACAAGAAACAGTAAATATGCAGCTCGCCAAATACAGAGACAAAAACACAATGTAGTCAGTCAGTCACGTCAACACCACACCCATCTGGTTGTGGTGCAGAATGTGATTTATTAGAGGTGGTGTCATTATGTAACTGCAGACGAAAAGTGTAATTAGTGAGGTGTTATTTGGCACGGATTCGAATCTAAAAGGTCTTCCATCTAAACAGCAGTTGCAGCAGCCTCTCCCACATGCCTGGAATACAATGTGTGTCTAAAAGTGTCGCAAAAATGTTCCAGTCAACACTTACACAACAAAGATTTTAACGTTTGCACACTTTACAGGAAGACAATGTAAGACTTTTTGCAGAAACAGAAGCTTGCAACCTGGAACAGCTAAGTGATCTCATTAAAGTGGTGAACACTGACCTCTGACAGCGCTGAAGGTGTTGAGGTACTCGGCAGTGAGAAGTGGAGCGGGCAGCTCCCGGATGAACTTCTTGAGCAGCGCGGCGGCGTCGTTCGGACTCACCTCGTCCCAGCAGACCTTCCCTGAGTAGAAGTTAGTCTCTAAGTTCTGCTGCAGCAGCTGCAAACAGAAAAAAAACAGAGAAATGACCAAAACTGTTCGATCACTAGTGATGTAACTTCCCATCCTATAGTAACTTTTATGTAAACTTGATTTGCCCTCAGACAGACACTATGTCTAGTCAACCATGACAGATGACTATGAGTTACTGCCTACAGAACTTGACATGTATATACGGCTGTTCTACATCTTTAGGTGACAGTAAATGTAGTTTATGATATTGAGCTATGAGGACATGGTTGTTACTCAGAAAGCTGTCTGGTCTCTTTGTAGAAATCACAAGAATCAACCGAACCCTTCACTCAACTGTGTCAGTGTTATCTACACGAAAATGAACTCGTTACCTAACAACCTGTCTATGTCTCAGTCATTTTTCTGCCTTATGCAATCGCTTACAGTCTGTTGAGGTCGTATGTTTCTTTTTAAAATAGTTGTAATCGTTTTGTCTTATTGTCTTTTACTATTTGTGTATCTTAAATAAGGATGTTTAAAAGAAAAAATAACAGAAAACTCAAATCTTTTAAGGATTTGCCAAAATAACAGATGCTTGTAACCCTAAAGCACTGAGTTTTAATTTATAAATATCACTTTATGGTAAATCTTACTAAAAAACGATCAGTATCTCAATTTTCCTGCTCGTCTTGCACAGTGGTCTATTTTGTCAAGTGCGAAATGGCGCCCTCTCCTGTCTGTTTTAGTGTAATTGATTCACCTTCTTCTGTGTGAGTGCTGGGTATCATTCAGTATCAGAAGGTGTGTTTGAGGGGCAGTGGTTTGAGAAAAAAAAGAAGATTAAAATGATTTTTTCTCTCGGTGGAGCTTGTTTTTCTAAATGTCAGCAGTGGTTAAACTCAGTGAAGCGGCTTAATGTTCCCAACTGATGCCAAGCACCTCTGACATTTTCAAGTGTCAATCATTGAGCTGCTCTTAATAAGTAAAACTGTCTTTTTTTAATTGGTTTGATAAGAAAGAAAAAGAAAAAGTGTACGACAGAATAATGTGGGTCAGCGTATGATAGAAATATGTGTTGATCCAAATATTGCACCTTTATTCTGGACTGAGATCCTGGAACCCGCAGGATCCCCTCCGAGTCGACTCCTTTCTTCTCCAAAAACGACAACAACTGCAGAGAAAGAGAGAGAGGCAAAGAAGAGAGAGAGAGAGAGAGGGAGAGAGACATCAGCGAGAGGAGAGTTAGGCTGCAGCAGATAAGGATCTCTCGCTCACCTCTGCTGGTTATACTTAGTAACTGCTGCTATGTTCAGGGTGTGGTCAAGGCATTTTCACATTCAGAGGACAAGGAGACTGTTTCAAATGAGCTCTGCGTAAAACTCAGTTTATTCAACGAAGATAAGGTCAAAGAGATAAAATCAAAGTTAGGAGAACAGCTGATCGGAGGCACAATCAAAATCTTCAATGTTGGTGCGTTTATGACAACCTCCAACGAAGACTGTAATGTTTTTGAGTACCTCCTTTAATTGATCCTCACTATTTCTATTCCTCAAATCATAAAGTCGCATATGAAGGGTTTGGTAGCGGATCTTACCGACTGGAGGAAAAGAGGGGTCGAGGTGTGGGGCTTCACTTTCTGATCGTTCTCCAGCAGTGTGGCCAGCGGCACCCCGAAAAGTGGACTCTCTGTAACGGACCAAAGTGTTATTCAGTTGTCCTCTCTGCCTCACACTTACTTTCAGACATGGTTTTATAAAGAAGATTACAAACAGTGTAAAAGAAATATGTCAGGGGTGCAGGAGCTTAAGATTGATATCAGTCTGAATAAAGCCAAAAGCTCATGGCTGACAGGATAAGAGACGCAGACAGCCTCTTAAGTTTGGAGTTGTTTCCTATTGATGAAATTCGATCAATCTGAAGCTCAGCTCACAGGTAAAATGTCATTATCTACATAACAAAATAATGAATATCTTTAAAATGAATTTTTCGAAAGTGTTTCTTTTGTCTCTCTAGTTCCTTGGCGTGAGGTCTCTGCTGTACCTGCGATTTTCCTCTTGCCCGTTTTGTGCCTTTTGACCTCCAGCTCGAGAAGATCACACAGCGCCGTCATGTCGATAAGAGCCAGCTGACGCACCTTCTTCATGTCCGTGTGGGAGAGATCCTGAATACGAGTCACTCCCAGACGGCACTTGGGGCAGATGACCCGCTGAGAAGGTGAGAGATTAAAGGAGGAGAGAAGTGAGGAGGAGAGGGAGACAGAAGTTAAGAGTTTGGAAGTGGAGGGGGGTGGAGAGGTAAAGAGAGAGAATGGGAGCACAGGTACGGAGAAGAAAAGGGCCAAAAATGTTAGACTTTCACATCAGACTGTATCACAGTTTAATGCTGTCACCCTAAACAAATGTGAAACTTAAAGTTCCTGTAACAGCTAATATAGAAATTCTGTTTTGACTGACTTTCATTACAGCCTTTTTCGGCTCAATCCTATTATACATTCACATGATCGTGGCTTCATTGAATGTTTTTCTTTGTGTTTAGTGTTGATTTATTTTTTACTTGCTAAACATTGGTACCTATGTTGAGAGAAGAATCAAGGTGAGACTTTAAACTGTACGAGCAAAGGAAGTGATCTTTGGACGTAAAGGGTAAGTCCAGATTTTCTTAATCAGGGTTTATATGTTTCATCTATGCACTTTGCCTCTCTCAACACTGTACATTTACTTCTTTACTGTCTCAGATTTATTCTCTGAAATACCAAAATAAATGCATGCAGGACACACAAGAAGAGAAACGTTTGCATGTATTTCTCTTTCAGATGTGACGTGTAGAAATGGGAATATTTTGGTACATTACTTATCCCTCCTGTTGGTCCTTTGCATGGTAAACATGATCACGAAACATGAATCAAACAAACTCTTTCATGCACAACAACAACCACTCTGTATTTCACCTCTATCTCAAAACTGGTGCACTCTTAAGCTTTTTTTGGAATCTCCTTGTTTGACAAAGCCATGGGAACTCCTGCAAAGTTCCTAATAATAATTAAAAAAGCAATCAAGAAGAAGTCTTCCTGAAAACAAGGATCTGCAGTTATACCAGAAACCCTCCAACCAGAAATTGTTTCAAGCTTACCGGCAAAGTGCCGTCCTCTTTCCTGCGAAGGATTTTGTTCTGGGGCAGTTTGGCCTGTTTGAGGAAGATGACGGCCTGTTCGCAGTAAGCCACGTCGGTGATGAAGAACTCTTCTTTAGGAGCGCCTCGCTGATGCTCTGGAGTCACGGCTAAATACACATTAAAGACAAGGTAAGAATAACGAAAACACAACAGCTCACAACAGATCTATGAACTCAGTGAACAAGTTTGACTGTTAGAATGTCACAAAAATAGACTTATAAAGCAACAGGAAGGAAGAGTGAATGTGTTCAAAAATGTCGTCGCCCTTAAATGCCTGACACCACAAATTATGCCCAGAAAATTCAAAATTTTCTGGAGCTGAAATGTTTTTTTGTTTTTTTTTGACTTAAAAATCAAAATGTACTTAAACTTATATATATTATTCATCTCGTTTGATACATTAGATGTTTTTGGAAACTGATAAACTACAAGAGGACATTTTTATCATTTATCGGACTGTATTCAGGGTTTTTTGTAATCTGTTGATCAAATTGATTTGATAGAAGTATATAAAAGTATCAAATATGATACAAAAGGCAGTAAAGGGTGAAAGTGTCACAAAGTTGATAATGTACAACATAGACTTGGCTCAACAGAGCTTATAAAGCGAAAGGAAGGAATAGTAAATGTGACCAAAAATGTCATAAGTATTTATTCCCTCTTTTAGAGTCAAAGAACTTAAAAGTAGGGCTGTAAATTCCTAGTCGACTGGTCGACTTATTGGTCGATACATGCTGAGTCGACCAAAATTCTGATTGGTCGACTCAATTTTTGCCGCGTCAATTTACAGTCTATGCTTAATGTCATCAGGAGGAACGTACCAAGTGCTAGTGGGGTGTTTTCAGAGCACCGCTGTTTCACAGGTAACAGCCTGTCTCAGAACACCCCCCTTGTTTTCACCATTTTGGATTCGCCCAACCCACTGGACACCGGTTGGAGACGGGAAGATTGAAGCGCGTCCGCGTTAATCGAAGTCCGGTAATTTGCTGAATATTTATTTTATATTTTCTAGCGTTTTAACTTGTGTTTCAACGTGTTGAATTGCCTTCTCGTGCTGATATATTTTCACCCCGCCGAGCCGCGTCATCCCGCACCACAGAAGGGTTTGCCGTCAGAATCAGAAGTCGATTAGTCGATATTTGGTCGACCAAGAATTTCTTCGGTTGATTACATCCCCACTTAAAAGTGACGTTGCTACCACAATTCACCGTGGGAATTTTGATCTGTAAGGGTGTGACTCTCATTTCGCTGCGTCTCTAAGGTGTGTATCCTCTCTGTTTTTCTCACATCAGCACACCAACAGCTGTACTTAAGTATCCTGAAAGTCAATATATAATGCACTTTTTTCTAAGTCAATTATCAAATTTTATTTAACTCAGATATATTTGGATTTGGCACGTGAGCACAGGGCTAAGAAGACTCAGACTTTCTTCAGTGACTGCATGTAGAGACCGAGAGTTATCCCAGGATTAATCTGAACCAATTTACAGGTAGGCTTTGACCTGAATCTGACACACAATCCCTCATCAGGATCACACAAATCTGTTGCTCACCTGACTTCTTCAGGTATCCCTTATTTAAAGATATATGTGAGGAAGGTAATAGGTAGTTAAACTTATTAGCGAGTACAAAAGGCCACCACAATGGGAATCTTGTTTTGACTCATTACAGTATTGAAACAACAGCAGCTGTTGTTTTAACCTTTTCAAAGTGTCGTGTTCTTGCTGTCATGTCTTTGCTTTCCTATTTCACCAGTGTAATGTCATGAAAGTATATAATTATAAAGCAAAGTGTTCCAGCTCTTACCTGAGAGAGGTGTTTTGGTGACTGAAGCCATGCTGTCTTGGGGTAGGTCTTCACTTTGCTGCGATTCTGGCAGGAGGTTCTGAAGAGACAGAGAGCAAATACTGAATGTTACAAACATCCTCTGTAAGGAGACCCTCGGGGTAAAATATCAGAGAGGTGACATCAGTCCCACGGGGAGTAGCAGTGATATTTTATTATTGTTCACTAGGGAGATAATGGAGGATATGGAGAGTGTTTCCTTTGATGAAGGGCTGATAAGAATCAGAGGAACCCTGTCTAGATCCCTCTCTCAGGACTCTTCAGACTGACAGTGAGGACAAAGCGTGGCCTTTTCATGTGATTTGCCTTTTTTGTAACAGGTTATCTCCTTTGCATGAAACAAGACAGCACAAGACACGGACACAATGGAAAGTCCTTCACACAGTCCCGAGGTCATACTTGTTTAGTTCACAGTTTGGGGCTTTGACTGTGACAGACTCTGCCTGCTGTAAACTTCAGCAACATAAAATAATGAATCCTGACACTTCAGATATCAGGAACTGGTGAATTTATGTGCTTTAAAGACAGCAGGGTCTCTGGTAAGTCTCTCATTAAGAATCTTCATGTTTTGTAGAAGCAGCAAAAAGTGTTAATGTTTATAATAATCAGCAGCAGTTATATTTAAAACTTCGTTCATTTACAGCAGGAATTTTATTTCTTCTCAACAGTATTAAATCCTGACCTGAGTGATGGGGGAGTTGAAAACGTCTCGGACGTCCCGCGGTGGCGGTTTGTTTCTTTTACGCAGGGATAGTGTGTAGGATTCCAGTCGACGCTGGACGGCCTCTGCCTGTGTCCGGGTCAGAGTGGACAGAAGCACCGCTTTGTCTACATCATCACCGTCCTCCTTGATGAGGTCCGATAAACCAGCATCAGCCAGCCACTGCTCCTCCTGTTCCCCTTCTGTGACAAACAAATAGGTAAACAATGAAACACACGAACGCAATAGTAAGAAGTAGAAACTGTTTAAAGGGATATTCTGTCGTAAATTTAAACTATGTGGTTAGAGTTCTTGTGTATCTTGTATGTGCACTGCAGACGCGGAAGTTCTTCTACCTTAGGGTCTCGGTGTGATTGCATTTCCTCGAAATAATAAGCATAAATTGTTGTCAGGGCTTCCCCACTAACAAGTAGCTGGAGGGGAGTCGGTGAGTTATGTTTGTTTTTTTTTGCCAAAGAAATCAGGCAAAGCTAAAAAGATGTTTGGTGGCTAGTACTATGGCTGGGACTCTATATGTACTGTTGATGAAGTTAGGTGCTGTTCTGAGTGTTATTTGTGGCTATAGAGCGGCGTTTTGTTTGAGGTTTGCTCGCGTAGACCGCTGTGTATCGCTATCGTGCGGTCGTTACTTAAGTTGGTCAAACTAGAGAAGCAAACAGTTGGCAACATTCATCTCTCGAGGGGATGTCTAACTCAGTGTTAGGGTGTGTTTGACCATGACTTAAATTTACACCGGAATATCCCTCTACAATACCTGTAATTGTGGATCAGCATATAGACAAACTAGGTTGTGTCAATGAATCACACATTTTTGAGCAAAAGAAGCACCAAACTGTTTCTTGGTTTAGGGAGAGACTGACAAAAAAACTTCTGTCTTTACAGTCTGTATGTTGTCAAGACTTTCTGTTTGTTTGCTTGTATGTTTCATTGTGTCACATATTTCTCCAGAGATGCTCAAGAAATTATTGAAAAGGAAAAAGGAAAGCATACTATTTCAGTAAAGGTTTGGCGTTGCAATAATTTAACAACACATTTTAGAAACCAAATACAGTCAACAGTATGTTTTTATTCTCTGAAGAAAACACAAAAATCTGTTCAGAGTCTCAAATGAGACTGCTGCGGCTCTGATCCTGACTCCTGAGTTCTTAGTCACTGGTGGAAAAAAATGAATTTCAAACAGTGTTTCTGTTGAACACAGAATCAAAGAGACGTATCAACGCTGCGTGATCACAGAGCAGTGCCACCGAGTCAGCACTCATGAATGGCTATTTGGCGTGCGTACACAAAATGCTCCCTGGCACAAAGTGTTTGATAGTGTTGTCATGGCGATGAGCACTACTTTGCTGCATGAGAGGAAGCCTGATGTGCCGCCATAGAAAATGCTGAATTTCATGGAGGGTCCCAGCAGCAGCTGAGCCAAAACGATGGTTATAAACGCTTTTAAATACGCTCATGTAATATTAATAAAACCTCTTTCCACCCGTTCTTCATTTAGCACCGCAGAATTAACAGCTTTTACCTTCGGACTGTTTGGAGTCTCTTCTGGTGCAGTCGTGCTCCGTGTAGCCACTCCCCTGTGTGATGGTCTCCACCTCACTCCAGAACGAGTCCAGGCACAGTTTGTCGGGGTGCTGCTCCTGATCCTGGGAGGATGGCGTGTGCGTGGTGTGCGTCTCTTCAGCGGCTGCCTGATCCTGCGGGCTGGCCCAGGGCTCCACGCTCATCTCGGTGGGGCTGGGATTTCTGGTGCAGACATACACACACGTAAAGAAATCACAGGCGTGCATGCAAACGGACTGGCAGAAGCACAAAGACACATACAAACACAGGAGGAGCGATGAAGACGGAGGCGATGCAGGGGGGGTGGGGGGAGTGGATCAGCCAGGAGAGCCCAGAGAGAAGGAGAGACAAAAGAAGTGGGATGGAGGGAGGGCCGGAGTGAGGAGAGCGTTGGCGAGAGCGGACACAAAGGGGGGTCTCTATTGTTCTTGCCGTAAGTGGCCTGAAGGAGAAGTACCCTCCAAATCCACTAGATGTCACTATGAGGAAGTGGGATTGGTTTTCTGATGGGCTACACCCCTCTGTATCAGAAACATGAATACAATCCACTAACAAGGAGAGATCTAACCTGCAGAAAATAATCTCAGATAAAGAAATCATGAATGATCTCTCATTCCTCTTCTGACTCTAGCCTGGAAAATACGCTCATCTTTTCCTCAACAACAGAGGAAACTGTTCCCTGACAACAATGGGACACACTCATCTGCGAGCACACTTACACCCTCTGGCACTAAAAATGTGACCCTGTGATTACAGACGCAGGAAGTGGTCAGCTGACTCACTGCATCGGTGTGCCGTTCAGTCACATTCCTCGAGTCAGCATGTCAGCAGAGACATACCGAACCATACTTGGAATGACAGCTGGTTCATCAGAACAGCATGACGCTGGTATGATTGTTACTCGACGTATCGGAGCATAAAAATAGCTGTCATATTTTGAGTTGTGGTTTCATGATGTTATCAAAGATCTTGTTATCAAGATCTTAAACAAGCACAAGAGCAGATCAGGTTTGTTCCAGATCCATGCTTTGGTGAGCGAAACCAGCTTGAGTGTTACTTGGAAAAGGTGGAGGGGGGGGGAGCTGTGAGTTTCAGCAGATACTTAATTCAGTTTAAGTCTCTTTTCCTAGTAATTTATTTAACTTTCCTTGTTAATTTAAGTATAAGTCTTTTAAACTAAGCAGGCCTTTAGAAGCTTGTAAATAAAAGATGTGAAATCATATCAAGAGAAAAATAAATCCAAGTAAATGGAAAAAGTAACTCTATTGGAGTCAACTGTTACTTAATACTGTCTGTCACAACTTGTGTATTTATCACCACTGTCACATATAGTGACACCCAAACTCTGTTTTGATTGTGAACAAAGTGTTCGCCCATCATAACGTCAGATGTAGATGAGCACATAGGATTTACTTAAGTTTGACTATCCCGAATGGTGACATTCCAACGTACACAACATACAGAGTGAATGTAAATGCAACGTGACAGTGATCCATCTTTCAGTTCACTGGATGACATATAACATTTTAAGAACATGTCAAAAAGTTACTTGACTAAATCTGACATCATATGCATTTTAGATAAGATGCACCAATACTGGGTTTAATTCTGTAATGACACTGAGGTTTCTGAAAGTATCAGGCAATGAAAAGAGCAGACAGTTCGGTCAATTACTTTTGGTGCTAACAGTTTCAGCGTTTCATCTACAAAATGTTGGATAATAGTTGACGGCAGAATGTAGCATCTTAAAAATACTGGTTGGGACTGATCTGCAAATCTTAAAGCAGAAGATATTCATGTTCTCTTTCAAAGTGAAGAAAGCAGCTGTTTCTCGCAGCTCGCACATGGAGAAAATATCAGTGCATCAGTTTTCAGATTGTTGTTTCAACCTATTAAGCAAATAGGAGTGACAGAGAGATGAATATCCTTTATTACATCCAAACAGATCCTAATTATGAAAGGGAATTGTTTTTTGTTTTTTTTTATTGTCTGATGAGTACTCAACACCTGGCAATGATGCATTCTTCATAAGCCATGTTGAGTGTTGTTTTTGTCTAACTATATTTGCCTCACATACTGCTGTTTGAAGCCATAACATGTGTCCATCACCTGATATCCTCAAGGACAAACTACATTCAGCCTTGGGAGATCAGAGGTCTGCAGACAGCTGCCTCACAGCAGTGAGTCAACACGGCAGACACATGAGCGTCGATGAGTACCACAAATATGCCAATAATACCGCTTTGAACACATGAATATCAAGTGTTCTATATGTCAACACCAACTTTAATCCACACATACAACAATCAAAAACATATTTGTGCTATGATGATGTTGCTTATCCCCGTCAGGTTATTTTACCACGTAGCCACAACAGTTTCACTTTGAGCGCACACAACACTTGTACGGATTCGATCCTCCAGCTCCTTCTCACACATACCTGTCTATTTTGATTTGGGACGAGGCCCTCGCACGCTTGCTCCTTGCTGGGTTTTTGGTCGGACGGAACCTGAAACGGTTCAACCTGGAGTGTGGAAACTGCATGTTGGACTCCATCCAGCTCACCATTACCTCCTCTCTGCCTCCCATATCCCAAGTGCAAAAGTAATCCAAGAATTAAAGTCCAGCACAAAACCGAAGCTTTATCCAGTACTGGTGGTCGGTCACCATGTGAGAGAGTGCGATGTAAATCTGTCCACTGCTCTAGTTCGTCTGCGCGGTGAAAGGGGATGGTGTTGTAAAGCTGCGTGGCGTGTTTGTGAGCTGAGTGGAGCTGGCGCTGGAATGCAGGAGGGAGTGACGACTTTCTGAACATCAACACATCATTCACACCTGTTCCCTCCCGCAACACTCTAAGGTGAAGACACACCCTGCTGCCTGCATGCCTGATAGCTATCTACTTCCTCTTTGTTTCAAACAAGAATGTTCACATGACTCTCGTGAAAATAAATAGAAATAAAACCACTTCAGTATCGAAACAACAATAGTTCCTGTTCAAGCTGAGAAGTCATGAGAAAAGCCTCGAGCCACACGAGTGTAAAAAAGCCAAATAATATTCCATCATCGTGCTCCTTCAGGGACAACACTGACCTCTTTACTGACACAAACCACCCTGAGCTCATTGATCAAGGATTCTTTGTTGAAAAGATGAGACTAGTTTTCACGTCCTTACTTGGCTCTTAACTCTGTCACTTGAGATTTAACTTAATCAAACAGATCAAAGGATGAAGACGTTTGCTCGAGTTTTCGTCGCGACAGGAAATCCCAAACCAAACAGAACATACTTGTCGTGTGAATGGTAAATCAGATCACTCCTTATATGCTGAAAAAAAGACAGCGACTTGTTGCACCGTTCATTCTCTCAATACCTCTTCGCTGGTTCATCTTCATACCTGAGCAGCTGACATAAACATCTGTGAGGATGGTTTATGGGCACGAGCGGCAAGCGAAAGTGCAACAGGTCTGTCCACATTGCCTGCAAGCCCCTCACCCAATCAGTCAGCCTCATCACCCCTTTATCATCCTCTCTTGTCATGTTGATGACAGGCTGTACTTCAGCGGAGCGGAGGATGTAAACAGACACTAGAGAAACTTCTTAGAAATTTACAGGTATGGTAATTCTTGCGAAACCCACTTGACGACAGTTTCAAGTATCTCTCACACTGGACCTTGTGTTGTCTAGTTTTGTTTTGGTAAAGCTGGGTCATGCAGTCAACAAAGATGATTGTTGCTATTTAGGTCACTCTCCACAAATTCTTGGACAAGAAATTAAGATCATAATCCTCAAACTAAGTAAACCAATACCTTCTGTTCTGTTATTCTCGGAGGGAAGGTTACTAGAGAAAGCTTTAAAAACATTTCCCCGGGTTTCCTTGTTTAGCCTGAAGTCTAAAGAGCCGAACAGCATTGTCTTGTTTTGAAATGTGCTAATAATACTCTTCCCTTTGACAGAAAGTTATAAAGCTATAAAGCGGCCATGAAACAATGCCTGCTCCATGCTGCTATTGTAAAACGGTGAATGAAAACAAGCACACCGCAAATGTCAAGGTGCGTGTATTTTCCTTGTTAAAAGGAGCTCAAATTCAAACAATGAATCAACAGGAACTGATCCACTCCAAGAGAAGAAAGGGCAAAAACATCAAACTTTTTTGTCTTAGGTTTGCATTTAGCAACACTGTGGGAAATAACACAAAGTAACCCTGACCACCAACCACAGTAAAGGTCTACAGTAATCTACTTTAAACAGCAGCGCATGTAGAAAGCAGCGCAGTGTTTAATCCTCATGGCTGAAACCCAATGCAAGCTTCTTAGCTTGGAGAGAATGCAACAGATTGGCTCATATATTTCTGAGAAAGTATTTCTTCAACTTCAGTCACTGTACATCTGTCCTAACAAGAGAATCTGTGTGACTATCCAACAAACTGCCCAGCATTGGTATTTACTTTCCTTAACAGTCACACAATGAAGTGTTGCTCAGGTTTGCTGTAAACCCAACTTCTTAGAACATCTTGTGGATAAAGAAGAAAAACATTTTTGCAGCTTTGCTCATGACCCGTTCTGAGTTTAGCCTCACAGTGGTCAAGAATCTTAATCCAAGTCAAAAGCAGCAGCAGCAGCAGAAACCTAATCCTACCTGGCCTTGGCCCGACCGATGACTCTGCTCGAGAGCAGCAGCAGGGCCGCCGAGCCGCTTCTCCCCCACGGCATCCTGCTGTTGTCCCCCCAAACCGCTGCGAGCTGTAGGAAACAGCAGCTGCCTGCCCGTGGCAAGCTGTTTCCTTGTAATCTCTCCAGTGCCCAAACACATTAGAAAAGAGTTGATCTCACTGCCAGGGTAGGCACGTCACTACACCGCATCCTGGGACAGGAAAGGAGGTCTGGATGAGAAGGGGGGGCCGGGGAAGGAGAGGAGCTGAGTGGATGAACAGCTGAGTAAGGCTGGGACGCAGACGGGGGGAAGAGGACGTCTGTGTGGTTTGGTGGATTGTCAAGGCTGAAGCTGAGAGATGAATGGGCGAGGGAGATGACACAACAGCTGAATGCCCAGACGACAAAACGGCCTGACTAACTGTTTGGAGAAAGTTACGCCGTGGCTTTATCATCCCCACCTCCAAGACAAAGAAAAGTGGAATATATCTTTTGTATTTGTGGCAACACGCTTACTTACACAAGCACGGAGACCTGCAACCTCTGCTATATGGTCTTTAGGACCCTCCACAAAGAACTGAAGGCTCTGGCCCAATTTACTGCAACTCATTCACAGGGTTCAGCACAAATAAGCGGTCGCAAGATCTTAACTTGAGCTGTGCCGAGCTAAGACTGATGTTTTTGTTTATTGCGACGTCATAATCTACCTCAAAGGGGAAAATTTCAGGGAGATTTACTAAATTTGTCCCATTGGGAAGGAGCTTTACGAGCTCAGTGCTGAGGATTAAACTTTGTAACATGGCAGTGCTTAGTGAGCTTACAAATACAACAAATCCATACATTGTTTTTTGGCACATATGTCTGCGACTCAATGGTACAAAATAAGATGCAGGTTAACGGTGTGGTTTTGGAACAAACTCTACCTTAATCAGCTTTAGTTTATGAAAAACATCATAGAGTAAATTAGGGCTGTAAAGTCCTAGTCGACAGGTCGACTTCTTCGTTGATACGTGCTGAGTCGAGCGAAACTGTGATCGGTCGATTCGATTTTTTTCCGCATCAATTTACCATCTATGGTTAATTTTATCAGGAGGAATGTACCAAGTGCTAATGGGGGTGTTTTCAGAGCACCCCAGTTTCATAGCTAACAGTCTGTCTCAGACCACCTCCCTGGTTTTCACCATTTTGGATTCGGCCAACCCACTGGAGACAGGAAGATTGAAGAGCGTCCACGTTAATCAACATCCAGTGGTTTGCTGAATATTTATATTTTCGCCTTTTGTGTATCATTGCCTTTTTGTGCTGATATGAGTATATTTTTACTCCACCAAGCCGTGTCGTCCCCCGCCGCAGAAGGGTTTGCCGCCAGAGTCTGAAACCCCCCCCTCGATTAGTCCATTTTTGGTAGAAAATTTCTTTGTTAATATACTTGAAGAATACAGTTCTTTAAATCTGACTTCATGTCAGTATTGTTTCTTCAGCAAAGAAGCCCTGGTGCTGTGAGCAAAATCCACTTTATAATGTGTTCCTGACCTATCAAAACTCTGTTTGTATGTTTACAATACATACACATATTTTAACAAATATTCCCACTTAAATCACAGCCCCTTTTGTGCCAATTGATCACAGTCACAGTAATTCTCCTCAGCTTTTCTATGTGCTTTTCTGCACAAGATTGTCTCTCTTTCAGAGAACCAAAATAACAGTTATTCCAGTCACACATCCCCACATTAATATGAAACCAAGTCAAGAAACAATTAACATTTTCATTTGGCTTGACTGAAATAAAATTAGGCTCCTCTCTGTCGGTCTCTGAAAGGAATCTGATGGGATTATTTCAGTCTCTGCTCCATGCCGCTGATGTCTCAGCTCTTTGGCAGCCCGCCCAGTCACCCTTTCCACTCAGTTTTTCTCTAACCAGATCAACACAGATTAGGGATCCCACAGGGTTCCCTCTCTGGGGATTTCACCTTCTTTGACAGCTCCATCTTTCTACTCTTAAAATAACCTCCCCTCACTCCCCTCTGTGGTATAAAACTCGTGAATGAATAAACCTCTGAATCCCTCTGAATCTGGAGTCTCTCAGTCACGCCATAAAATTCTTTGCAATAAGTTTAAACCATCAAATCTGTCCTCCTGTAACTCCATACCATTGTCGTTGAGTAGACAACAGCCCTTCTTGCCCAATCTTTCATACAGCATTTCTTTCATTTCTCTCAAATCATTCCTGAATGTCATTCCTGGTGAGTCAAGCCCTCCCTCGCCCTCTCTGACGATCCTCCTTGGCTAACAAACATGCCTGGAGGAGAAAGTAGAGTGCTGAACGTGACTGCACGCCTCAGTGTGACCCTGCAGATGGCTTGTGACAGCCAGCTTAGCCTCATGCCCTGCTCATCCACATCTTGGCAAGTACTACCTGTGTGCAGCGAAGGAGCAGGGGAGGGGGGTGAGAGGAAAGTGGAGCAGAGTAGAAAACAGGAGACAGAACAATAAGAAAAAGATAAAGAGGGTCACATGGTGACGAAAAGGATAAGACGGAGAGGAGGTTACAGAAGAGGAAGGAAGGAAGGTGTGAGGAAGAGAGGAATGTGGCCTGTTGCTCCTGAGAGGGTGGTCCATTTAATCAGAGTTAACTTCTGATTTTTTTTTTTACTTTGTGTACAAAAGTCTCAAACAGTTTGATTAGGATCATGTGATGCAAACAGAGATCACAGACACTCCCCACAGGCTGCCAGTGAGAAAAATAGGAGTCTTTTGGAAATAGCAACAAAATAACCTGATCATACTTTTGGTATTTTTTTTTACTGGTTTTAAATGACTACTACCTTGTTTTGTAGATGAGGCCTCTGCTGATTGTTCAGCTCCAAGTAAAAACATCTTTAACTGTGAACTCTGAATCCAGACAAAAACACAAACTCAGAGAAAGAAAACTGGATTAATCTGTTATCTATGCTCATATTCTCCTGGTTTAAGAGCTACGGAGTAACACTGATATTCAAATAAAATTGGTTTGCTCAGTTTTTTTATGCTTTTAATCTACATTCACTTAAAATAGAGATTAAACTTGCATTGAATAAATTAGGCACTACTCTATAGTTCTAAAACCTTCTTCACTGGTGGGATGACCCTCGAGTTGGCAGCATAATATAACTAATTTTGGAAAGAAAAAAAAGGATTAGTCAATAAATATCCTGGATTTCAAATAAGGACGCTGTGTAAAATGTAAAAAGACAAGATTTTAATGTTCGCATATCACTATAGCCTTGACTTTTGTTTTCCAGCTTCTCAACAGTTTGGAGTCCCTTTGTCGTTTTTTAATTTCATGATCCACAGAATATTTTCCAGGGATAATAAGTCAGGACTGCAGACAGGTCAGTTTGGGCTCTACTAGCATGGCTGTTGTAATGTGTGCTTCATATGGTTTGGATTTGTTTTGCTAAAATATGAAGGTCTTCCCTGAGAAAGGTATGGTCTGGCTAAAAAGCTAGACCCATTAAACTTGACACCATTTCTGTTTTATGTGTATCCATGGTTTTCTCCGTGCATAGTACAGTTTTAACTTAAATAAACTGTGTTCACAGACAATGGCTTTTGTTAGGGATTATGAACTTATGCAGTAATTTCCACTTCAGAGTCATGTCTAGTTTGAATGTAGTGCTGCTTAAAGGCCTGAAGATCACAACCACCTATCTTTGGTTTTTGACATTGCCCCTTTTTGTGCAGGGATTTCTCCAGATTCTTTAAATCTTCCATAAATACTACCTATTTTAGATCATGGAATCCCTGCACTTTTTTTGCACTTTAACACTGATAAACATGAAAACTGTTAAACCATTTTTTCACACAGTGCATGAACCTCTTTCCATCTTTAAGTCGAAGAGACTCAGCCTTTCTTTGGAATGCACTTTCTAAATGAAGTCATGTCGCTAACTAACCTGCTGCAAATTAACATAATTACTTGGGAGTTGCAGGTTTCCTTTTATAGCATTACACAACGTATTTGGTGATTTAATATGTCTGTCCCAATTGTTTTAAAATGCGCTGCTGGCATCAGATGTTAATTGTTGTACTATTTTCAGTATCAAATGTTGGAAACTGTCCAATTACATTTATTTTTTACCAAGTCTCCAAAACCTTTTCATAATTGGGTTGTAGAAAATGATCATAAGAAGGGTGACCATATGTCCTCTTTTACCCGGACTTGTCCTCTTTTTTGGGGGCTGTCTGGCCTTGCCGGGGGGGAGTTCATAAAATCCTTCAAATGTCCAGGGTTTGTATGGAAGTTTTGAGTTTGTGTCGTGTGGACTAACTGAGTTAGAAGCGTATAAAAAAACACTCAACCCTACCTGAAATACTCTCAAAATTAACTACGTGCAACTCTGTGACTCCGCCCCGCGTAGTCGTGTCCTCTTTTTGGGATTCAGAATAGGGTCACTCTAATCATGAGGATACTTTTGTCTTTATTGTCTAGCCCTAACTAATTACGCTAAAGCACGCCTCTGAGGGGAATCTACTGCTTTTTCTTTTCATGTACAGATAGAGAAAAGAGAAAATGAAAAATGTTTCTCATGCTGATGTAGACTCACTCAAGCTTCAAGGTGATTTGACTGACAAACAGTGACACAGCCAGCTTTTCACACATGCTGATAACACCCACGCCTCATTTAAAACGGAGGTAAATGGCCTCTATGTGCTCACACGTGTACGCACAGAAGTTCACAGAAACAACCCAGGCGTATGTGATGCAGTGAATCACCAAATGCTTATTTTCATTCGATGCGAGAATGTTTTCAATGATCACGACACTGTTAAGCAAAAACAATGAAAAGTAAGTCACTTGTGAACAAAAAAGTCACGAGCACCAAAGACCTCTTTGAGATGAAACAACAAGTCATGCACGTTTGTGATATTTATCTTACACTGAGGCATAGCTGTGATGTAGCGATTGAATTCCTGCATCATTCCCACAACAACATGGGTGTTTCTGCTCATCGTTATTTATGGCCGCAAACTTTGGCTCATTAATTCTTCGGGGAGGTGTGGCTGAACTCGCTCTGAAAGCACAGATAAAAAAATCAGTTGGAGAAAAGCTTCATTTATGAGGTCGTGAAAACGAATTGATTTATTGTTCAAACATCGCCTCAGTAAAAACAAACCCGGTAGAGAAACATGGCAAAAGCTCAAATCTTTTAAGCAATCAGAAACGTGACAATAAACTCATTGAACTTAACTCATGCTGCAAATTGTCAGATGACACACCTTAATTGACGCTTTATCATTTTATTACCCACAAAAAGCAGGCTGTCAAACAGGCATGGAGCATGTTTTCTATGGCAGAGCTGTAAATGAGCACCTGACCTTAACTTGTAACCCTACGCTAACATGATCATAACAAGCATTACAAATGATTGAAACATGATCTGGAGAGTGTAACCACATCTCTGCTAATGATCAGGGCAAAATAACTTCCTTGACCATCTCTCTTTCAAAGAGCAATTTCACAAACACACTCCTTTCTTGGTACCTGGGAATAGCAGCAAACACATAGTGCAGATGTGCGTCATAGGTCAATTATTCATATTCTTTCGTTTAAAATCATATTATCATATGAATGTGTGACCCAAATTCTCTCTTTTCATGTTGCAGGAAACAAAAACAAACACCGGGTCCTCGCTTAAACCACAGCTGTCACCTGAGCTGTGCAGGGCTTAAGCTGCTACTGGGATGAAAGCTGGAGTAACTAACTTCTTTTCCCTCACCATATGGAGCAAAAGTGGATTACATTGACTGCGGTACTTTGCGCTGGTTCTTACCATCAGACTTGGAAGCATGCATAATTTGACCTGGCTCTTAAAAGGTTATTTTCTAACCGGTCTTACTCATCCAATCACCCATGTATTGTCACCACTGTTCAGATTTGTTAAAATCTGAGGTTTGATCCAAATTCTATGATAATTTCTAAAAGCATGACGCAAAAGTGGATACCATATGATCTGACAACACCAAACAGGAACACTATAACTTATCAATCTGACGCCAAAGCAAACAAGATTGACTCATTTTGAAGGAGCACAACCAGACCAACTGGAATCAGAACAAAACAACACACAGTAAATATAAAAGCAGAGTGCAAATATATTGTCCGTATCAACCAATATATTTTTTAAAAAGTAGCAAAAGAATTATATTCCAGTTTGCAGTATTTTTGCTATGTAGGCGACTACAAATTCAAGGGCTTATTTTCAATGCGAGACTATACTTTTATTATTTATTTGGATCCCCATTAGCTACTCTTCCTGGGGTCCACAAGAAGACAGTTAACATTCGTGTACATTAAAATGATAAAAGTCCAAACAGGAGAATTATACAAGAAGTTAAAATCATAACTAAAGCAAGAATTATGATGACGTTACGAATCCAATTACAACAGACACCAATAAAGGTTAATAAGAAAAATGTACTAGTAATTAAAATCTCATCGGTGTGTATTGTATGTTGTCACAGCCTAGTCTAGGTGTTCTGTTTCTTATTTCAGTGAGTCTGGGTTATTATATATTGGTATACCTTATTTTTAAACACGTTTGGTTTTATTTCTTACAATTATCTGTATTTTAAATTGTGTTTTTTATTTTCTTTTCTTTGTAAGGCGTCTTTGAGCACTTGTAAAAGCACGTTATAAATAAAATATATTATTATTAACTTATTATTATGTTTACTGGTTAACCTTGTAATGACAGAATGACGACTACTGCATCTTTTCATACCTCTGAACATGACAGTACGCTGTCCAGAGTTAGTAATGGTGAGTGGAAGTGTGAAATAACCATTGTGTTGAAATTATGACCATTATGACTGAACAGCAATTGATTAAAGAAAACATTTGGCCTTTTAAACACTAAAATTTGTCTGGAGAAGGAAAGCAGAGACACAGTGATCCTCTCTTTCACCAATGACCAGTCCAATGTCATATGAACTATTTGTTTTAAAAACTCCTAATGTGATAGAATAAATAAGTCAATGAGTGGAGACCGTAACAGCAACCCATTCAGAGTAATATTTAGTCGAAAATATTACATTAAATCTGCTGAAGATTTCAGTTACTGTAAAAACAATGGCTTCACGTGCAGGCAGGGAAACACGCCCATAGCAACCTCTCCCCTAGCAACCACCAAAGCTTCTCGATGTGAGAGTAGAGGAGCAAAGAGGGAAAAATTACACAATTTACACATAAAACTAAACAACAGTCAATCGTTTTGCCTCTGTTCCGAATAAATACTCCAATTTGAGTCAAATAACATTAATTGTTTTCCACAATAAGCGCGGAAAAAACGCCGTTTTTGATAAAATATAGCGGTTAGCTTACTGAAAACAAAGAGTCCCGCTGCTCTTACCTGAGAAAACACCGCCGACACCCCGGACTTTAGAGGGCTCGACCGGGCGTCAAAAGAGGGTTTGTCCATGTAGTTTCCAGAGGTTAGGGCAGCAGGGATGAGGTGTAGCTGTGAGCAGAGGTTATAAGCAGATGGCAGGAGAAAAAGCTCGTCCCGCTTTCACAGATGACAGGAGACAGTCTGCTCCCCTGACCGTTCACGCTCAATCTGCTCACCTTGACGTCATTACGTAGGCCTTCACAACAACAACAACAACAACAACAACAACAACAACAGCAAAATGTAGGTTTTGTCCTACAATTGCACATTAAAAGCAGAATCCATCCTTAAAAGCCCAAACCAACAATTTTAGCCTCACAAGAGAATAAAGTTAGATCAGAGCTGTGTCCCAGGTCAGCAGGTAGCCCATAGATATCTCAAATCACACCAATTAACTCATTTTTGTTAGTTAGTTTATTCATTTATTTCTTCAGGGGGTGGGATGTTACTGTTTGTCTTATTTTAAAATTTGTCCTGTTCCTCTTTTGTTATTTTCAGCAGCTTTTTAGCGTCACTTATGTTAATATTTTTAAAATTAAACTAAAGACCTACCTTTTTAGTCTGGCTTTTAGATGAATTTTCCTTTAATCTTTTAATCTGCATTATGTGATTTTACACTAGTTTAGTCCTAGAGTAACTATTTTGTGTTTTATTATTTCTTTTTTAATTTACTTTCCTTTATTGTTTGATTTTAAGACTTTTTTATTTAATTAAAATTTAATGCTTTATCACCTTTATTATATTTTATTAGGGTTTTATCGTTTTAGCCCTAGATCCAGTGTTTTCTCATCTTTTTCTAACTCAAGATAATGTTTCGTCCGTCATCTGTGGCAAAGTGAAATATCCTCACCTGGTCTTTTGTGTGTGCATCTGTGTGTGTGAGCTGTGTACTTGAAAAAATTCCAAGTGCTTCAAAGTTTGATTGATTGGAAGTTTGATTTTAAGCTTTTATTATTCGTCACACTAATCTGCACAGCTCAGGAACATAGGTGCTTTTGTTTTTAACGGCAACATTATAAACCAAGAATCTTAAATCTCAATTATGGCAGAGTACCATTCACTCTTATTGAATTTGTAATCTTTTGATGTACTTAAAGCTTAATTTGATTTAACTTAATTTGGATTAAGGGTATCTTCCTCTTTAATCTAAATTACCCCCATTGGCGATTCATAAGCTTATGTTAGAAGGCCTGTCATCTGTCATTCAGAAGACTAGAAGAGATGCACATACACTACCTAGATGAGATGTAGGTGGCATCTTTAGAATTTATTTATAGTTTATTTTTCTATATTTCCTTGTACGGTAAAATATGCATATCTTGATATAGAAGCTAACCAAAGACATTAATAATTCAACAGTGTGTTTATTCTTGCTCACTGTGTTTAGTGATCAGAGATGCCCTGGGAAGCGTTCTTTTATCCAGCTGTGTGCAACTACCGCACTGCATAATAACAACAAAGCCTGGCTTCAGTGGACTTGACACACTTTGTACCTTTGCAAGTCAGCAACATGAACTCAGTTTGATGAACAGAGGCGTCACCAGGAATTCTGGCCCCCATGAAAACTTACCACAATGGGCCCCACCATCACAGACCAATCACTAGAAGACCTATTTCATTTCAGTTCAACTGAATGAATTTACTGCTCAGTATTCAGTGCTCAGATTACCTGTGATATTGTACATGCATACGTACTCAACTCAATGCAAAGAGTCCAGAAAAGCTACCCCTCTACCCTCTGTACCCACTCCATCCAGTCAAGGATGAAGGTGGAGATTGCTTTCTCACCCTTTCCTCTCCCTCCTCTCTTCCCCCTTGTGTTTCTCTGCCATCTTTGACTCAGATATTGACCCAAATAAAATAAAAAAATAAAAAACTTAAAAAAAAAAACTGCATGCTATCAGTTCATATTTCATTATCATTACACATCATCTGTTATCATCAGACAGGCTACAGGATGGCGCTTTGTTGCTTTTTCCTCTGCAAGATGGTTCCTTGTTCCTCATTTGAAACCCAGCTTGGGCCTTTCTATGTGAAGTTTGCATGTTGTCCTAATGTCCTTATGAATGCATGGGTTCTCTCAGGGTGTATAGTCAAAAGACAAGCTTATCAGGTTAACTGGACACTTTAAATCACCAGTGGGTGTGAGTGTGTCTGGTTGTCTGTAGCCCTGAGATAGGCTGGTGATCTGACTGGTTTCCCACCTACTGGTAGTTTAGATAGGCAACAGATTATCTACATAAGTGAATGTCAAATACTGAGATATAAGTAACATATTTTGCTACTAAATTCATAACACATAAGTAAACATGAAATCCAACTATGCTTCTTAAAGTTTTGCATGAAAACACTCTTTTCTAGCATTTCTTAGCCTCCCCATTTTTTATCCATATATAATATTTCAGTTTTAACCTTCCTATTTCAGGTGATTATACTTACAGAAATATTTCTTTCGAGCACCTGTTGTCTAACAAACTAACTTGAAATGCATAATCAGTAAAAAGTCTTAATGCTCATATGAGGGACTTTTGGTTTGTGCCAACTTTAGTGCCCCTTGTGTACTTATTTTGTCCTCTACATACTTTTTCTCTTGAGCTGCTCGGCTGACACCTACCCCGTCGTTTCAGTTTCAGGCATTGAAAATAAGGTAATAAAACATCAGCCTTGTTCATGAAAATGCATCAATATGACTGCAATATATTTCATAAACATAGAAAAAAGTCCTAACCATATCTTTAACTTCTTCTATTTTCATCTCGAGTTTGTTCCCAAATGATTGATACCTACTTAACTCAGCAATGTTTTGAGTTTAGACACTTCTTAAAAATCAATCTATGTAGTCAGAGGACAGCTTTTACAAAAGTAGCTCTCTTAATAGTAGGCCAAAGCATTTAACTGTCAAAAAGCTATTTATATAACCCTGTAACAAAAGGCAGTCATAGAGCAGCCCAGCCTCTAATAGCTTTGCATTGGCCTGCAGGGAATGATTTAAACCACAATGAAGGAAAACACTACCCCATTATTATATTTCCTCATAACAGGTAGGTTGTGTTTGTGTATGCAAACCACACTCATGAGTTATTCCTACTTTAAAGGTCAGCCCACAAAAAGAAATCTTGTTCATTGTCCCTCAGCGGATAAAGCTCTAAATGAATAATACCCAGCAGGCTGAGAATCAGTCTTTTGGAGTTAGTTCTGTACAAACAAAGTTAATGAATAAATCAAAACCAAAGAGTATTAATGGAAAACACATATAACCATTCAAAGAGGTGTGTAGCTGATCTATTCACTTACTGGAAAAACAGGATCTGCCATAAAAAGTCAGACAAGCTCCACAGCGTGTCCATTTTGCCGGGAATCCTTCGCCATGCTCTTATTCTGCCATCAGCAATGAACCGTTAAAGTCCCAATTAGAGCTGAACCAAGTATCCAAAACAGCACACAGCTTTGCAAAGCTCATTTTGGTTTTTCATTTAGACCACTTCCTTTCCCTCAGAGAACACTGTCCATTGTGTAAAAAGACCCCATTATTGACCAATGTTGGCAGCACATCCTCGGGGAGCGCGGCCCCAGGGATTTCAGTGCCGGCTCAACAATTTCACAACCTCGATCTTAAATATCTCAACACAGACTGGACTGATTGACTGAAGTGATCGGTTTGATTATCTTAACAAATATGTCATATCAGTTACAAGTTTTATCATTTTATCGAGAGCCAGTACTTGCAAAATAAAATCTCCCTTCTCCGGCTCATTTAAAGTGCATTAAACGACAACTAAAAGCTAAAAAAAACACCTTAGTGCATGTAATTTCTGGCTACCACCATGGATGCAGAGTCTCGGCTTGTTTAATAGTGTTAGTTTGTGTTTAATTTGTTAGATCTGCTTGTAATCGGTGTGTATCGTGCACAAAATCAGCTTATTACTCTAATTTCTGCCTTCCCATGGCGCTCACAGAACTCATAAAAATAAATCTCTCACTCTCTTGGCACAGTAAAGCAGTGGGAGTTATTTATTCGTAGATATCCCATTCCTAACATTCTGTAATATCAGCCCAGCTCAGCATGTCCACCCCTGCATTGTGTCTCGTTGCAGCTTTCAGGGAAAAGATCATTCCTCCTGGACAGATAATTCTCTCTGGCATCCTGTTTTTGTTTTCATTGTCCTCTCAGCTTTTCTTGCAGACTGTCCAGTTCATTCCAGGGCTGTTGTGTATGTGTGTGTGCGCGTTTGTGTGTGTGTGGGCGGGAGACAGAATGCGAGGAGGAAACACTCACAGATCGACAGAATGAGACAGAGACAGAAACAGCGATGGAGAGCAGAGAGCGGCCTGTAGAGCAGCCCACTCTGTTTCCTGCCATTGTTTCATGTCAGGGACCCACAGGAGACTCTTCTGGGCTGTGAGCGTCCTGGACAGCAGCTGGCTCCCCCTCCTGTCGGGGCCACTCCTCTTATGGCTGTGCTGGGTTTCCATGGAGACAGAGAATATGCCTGCAGATGATGCATCCCCTGGTAAGGGGTTCATGGAGACAATAATACAGCACAGAGGCAGACTGTGAAATGTGCAAACTGAAGAAAGGTAAATGTAGATCAAAACATTTAAGATACACAGTTTCTTCTGTTTTTGATTCATTCTTTTGGATCCATAGATTGTTTATTTCCAGTCTATCTCAAGGTCGTTTTCAGAAAAAATAAAATGCACCTTTTAAAACTCAAATATCAATATCAATCCAGTCACTTCAACAAAATATATCAAGGATTTCGGGAATTCATGGTCATCAGAGGATGAACGTACCAAATTGGTGATTATTTGAGTTTCCATCCAGCCTTTATTATTTGGGTAAACATCTCATTAAGTTAGCAAATACAGCAATAAACACACTGTTGTAGTTTTCAGGAGATGAATAATGAAGACACTTGTGCAAATATCTTTAAAATTTGGATGCATTTCAAGAGTATTCAGGTCCAGATTATATTCACACTGAGGCTCATGACTAATATTTACAAAAGTAAAAGCATTAACATCATTATTTATGCAACAATCAAAAAAAAAAAAACAACTACATTTTCATCAATCCAATTATCCACCTACCTGGTTTCAATGTGTGGAGTAGAAATTACTGATGCTGACCAAAATAAACTTGACAAAGAAATACTTTACTAACTATATTACTATATTACTATATTACTATATTACTATATTATGTCTTATAAATAATAGTCCACATGCTCCCATATTCCTGACTTTTACTTATATTTCCTATTTTTAAGAGCAACTGCAATCCCCAAATTTCGTCCAGTATTGACAAAATATTTCTGACTCTGATTCTGATCAATCTCAGTTGTATCCTAACTAGAGTGTTGATTGAAGCCTACTTAAGCACCATGCAATCAGCATATTTGTTTCATCATAGAAAGCATAAAGGCTCAGTATAGCATTGTACTCAAAGCATGCCAAGAGCTGCAGGCAGGTTTTAGACTCTTACTTAGAGTGTAAGCCAATGATCAAAAACTGGATCCTTGGGTTTACAGCTTTAAGATACAAACACTTGAACACTCTGGTTTAATTGCAATTTAGCAGATGTATTTCAAGTGATTTAACACCAGCCTCCAAAATGAACAATACAAAAACTAATTTGCATGTCAAACTCTTTTATTGGCCTCCATGTTTGAATTCCTTTGGCTACCGTGTGGATTTTTTTCGCACCTGCACTCTCTGGGAGTGTCTCTGTGCATGCCTACATGACCTCATTACTAACTTGACAAATGACTGATGAAACTCGATCTGAAGTGAGGAACTCTATCTGTGCTGATTATCTAGTTAGCTTCCTCTAACGAGGCCACATTCCCCCCCACTAATCCATGTCACGCATGTGAGGTCCTGCCACTGACACTCTGTTAACAGGTCAGTTAAAAAAACACCTAAACAATAGCTGGTTTGCACTAAGCGTGAGAAATGTTGATACTCTGGTTTTCTTTCTTTTCACTGGCTGAGATGCCGACATGTGTGCATTAAGAAGGATTTTAAAGTTCTTTAGAGCTTTCAGTCGTTTACAGTTGTAGACTTAGGAAAAGGGCCAGACACCTGCCGCCTTGCTTACTTTGTCTCACCTCACAGCTGCACGTGCGAACCTGCCCCGCTTATGTGCCCGAGTAGATTCACTTAATAACCGACTGTTTTTCCGTCTGTGAAGACTGAGTCGACAGTTTGTAGCTGTTTATCACAAGTGTGTAAAGTCCTTGTAATGAGCTCATTGGGATTTACATGACAGGAAAGTACATAATTAAGGAGCAAGACGGCAAATAGTATGTTTTTCAAAAGTAATGACTCCTTTTGTGCAAACAGGTTAGACTGGAAACGTAAAGTTAATCAAAATCTCCCCTAATCTGGTGGATGTGACAAGAAATTATGAATTATTATACACATTTGCCTCTCTGTAAGAAAAGTTACTTACTATTATGGATTTATATTTAGTGTTTGTGTACAAAAAGAGTTTTAACATGAATGGAGTGATTACATAAATTCACCAACAATACCCACTATTCAAGCAGGGTTAAAATGTCTTTCTATTTTTAACCACCTCTGCTTATTTCATGGTTATATCCTGCTTTGGGATTAACCCTGATTTGGACTGGGCGACACAGTACCACTGGTGGGGTCTGAGCTCAGCAGCACGAGTTCAGATGACGTTTGAGAATTAGATGACGTCAAAAGGGGAGGAATAAAGGGGGGAAACAATAAATGAACTGTTATATAATGATAGAGAGATGTTATTTTAAAAACTGCATCCAGATTTAAAACCTATTTTCAGGATTCAGGACTATTTGTAGATGAAGAGAGCACTGAAAGGATTCATCCTTTTCGTCTAAATTAATCGCTGAATTTCAATCATTATGCAATGGATGTAATAAAATGTACTTTATGGTCTTGTCTTTGAGGAATGCAGCACAACTACAACATACTGAGCTCTAAAATCATGACTTAGACGTAGAAGACAGCTTCATAGTGTTTGATCTACAGCTCTGCAGTGATTCACACTCCTATATGGTGCTCTGTCTGCTTTTTGTGATGGGGTTGGCTGCTGATATCAGTCTGAGTAGCTGCACCTGTATATTCAGTTTAGAAGTGGTGGATATAAAGTGAAATATGGGGGTGAAAAGTGAAGTGGCGTTGTTATTTTCTATCAAAGTAGCAGAGGTAGCAGCTCCACTACGGTGCGCCCAAAGGGACATTATAGCACAAGATGAAAAAACTTACTTCATATCAATTTTTGAAAATCTATTCAAAATGCCCTCATCTAATGGCTTTTACTAAAACTGAGACCCAACACAAGACAAATCCAACATTATGAGATAATGTGTCACTATTTAAGTTATCAATAAGCACAGAGTTACAAACAGAACCTGTTTTTGCTCGTATGATTTATGTGCAAACCCTGCTGTAGTGAAACAACTTCTCCCTGTGACCTACTCAGGAGAAATTGAATTGCTCAAGGCAAAAGTTATACCCTTTTATACTCACTGTGGATAGTCATATGTGCTCATATAGTCATATGTCATATGTCATATAGTCATATTTTACTCCATAAAAATAACCACGATAGCTCCAAAAAGAAAATACATGAACATACATGATATATTGAGTCACACTTTTCTGGATGATTAGTTATCTCTGCATCAGTTTCTCTTATACCTCTATACATTTGCTCCATGTTCGTGTCTAACACTCATTTTTCTGCTGTGTAATGTAATGTAGTGTGTGTGTGTGTGTGTGTGTGTGTGTGTGTATGTATGGTGCATTCTGACATAGTGCTGCTGCAGCACCTCCTCCTCTTTATCCTGCTGCTCATAAAAGCTGCAGCCTTGTTGCTGAGGTAAGTGGAAACTTTATGAGAGGGCATTACCACCTTTAGTGCTACTTTACTGCCCAAGTACAGAGGGGCTGCAGTCCAACGCCACATCAGCACCCCCTTGTGTCACAATCTAGGTACTACAAAGAGTCGGTACATTTACAGTTAATCAGATCACTGATATTTTCTTACAAGACAGGAAGCCACCGCGAAAGCAAGCCATTGTATACATTTTTAGAGATTCACATATGAATATTTTTATCTTCCTGAGCTCTACATTATTATTTTAAACGTTGCACTTGTAATTCTATCATAGTGCCACTAGAGGGAGCTCTGATCTTTCAGTCTGCAGGGCTGCTGAGGGTTTTTTGGAGGGAAAATGATGGCGACAGTAATCAGCATTTGTTAACACATTTTCAAATAAAGTAGGACTTTTCCCTGGAGGTTTTTGCAGTAATGTAACTCTGGGTTAAACTCCATAATGTAAACTGAATATTTGTACAGATTTTCAGCACATTTACTTTAATTACTCTGCTTCCTCTTGATCCCACCAGGAGAGATTTAGATGTCCAGGCTGAATTGCTCACTAATTTCCTTTTCCAAATGTAGCTGTTTATTCTTTCTAGTCTGCAGGCAACTGTGAGAACCCAGCTCATTTGTTAACTGTCTTCTTTAAATCAAACACTGCGCATAGGAAATTAAATTGGATCTAACTAAAGTGCTAACATAATTTTAAAGTCTGTCTATAACCTGCAGGAGTTTGACAGGGAGAATGAGGAGTGCAGGATCAATTTTGGAGTAATTGGGGGTAACTCTCTCTCCTAAGGGAGCATCAAGTCATGGTCAATTGGAGATTAAACAAGATTTTCCCCCTTTTCTTTTCCTCCTCCTTACCTTTCACTTCTTATACATGTATAATCCTGTTCAAGCGGTCTACCAGAGTCAGAATCAACTTCTCCAAACTTGTCTGAAACTGCACTGTCAGGAACAAGCACCACCTCAACCCTCTGTGGAAATCCCACAGTAGCTCTTCTGCAGAGTCAGAGCACAGCATCCTCCAGCTAAGAGTGAACCACCCCTCTGCTGCTGCTGCAGCTGTTGGTGGGGATTTTTAAAGATCTAAAAAGCTGCTGAGTCATTTTGGAAGCAGGAGCAGAAATTTTATACACTTCCTCAGAGAATTGCAAAGAATTCGCTGTTATGA